AGTAGGAAAAACTTTAGCCATCTGAGCAGATAAACTTAATTTATTCCAACTATCTATAATAATAAAAGTGTAATATGCTAATTAAACCAGACGTCCTTCCAGATGTCCTTCTGGATGACCTTCCGGACGAAGCCAGGGCTGCAAGGGAAGCCAGGGTCCCGGGTGCCAGAGGGAAGCCGGTGCCGGCAGCCGGGGGAAGGAAGGCCTTACTCTTGCACGAATTTCGTGCATTGGGCTTCTAGTTGTTTTATAATTAGTGAGTTTTATATTATTATGCATGTCTCATGGCTAAAAACTTAAAATGAGACTTCTGAAACTAGTATAATATGGAATGTCAACTGTAATTGAAATAAAAATCACCTATGTTCCATGTTGTCTTTATCAGGTGTTTGGTTACTTAAGTAAATCTCCTAACTAATGTAGTCTTCTCCATATTAAAAAAACTAAGTTTTGCTCAGAACTGTATAAATTTGCCTTTAAAGTCCTTATTCTCACTTTGGTTAAATAGGTAAGTATTGTTTCACAGTGAGCTGTGATTCTATTTAACCAGTGTTTGAAATGGTTTTTTTTTTTTTTTTGGTATTTTTGACAAACTTCCCCTAAATCAAATCTTAAATGAGTTCTTTTTGACCTTGAATTAACTTTGGGATTTTCCAGAGGGTCCTCGAAACATCTCAAAAGATTTGTTCTCTCTCCTTATAAAAAAAGGAGACAAACTAATTAGGCTTATTTGATATGTTAAGTCATATGGGAAGCACTGTAAAAGAAGAAGTAATACTAAGCCTTCTTTATGTTGTATCTGAATGGGTATATGTTATAAGTGTTCCAGAAATTGTGTGAAATTCTTGGAAATCTGATATGTCCTGGTGTGATGTCATCAGTTTTAATTCCTGTTATCAAGTTAAATTGTTATATATTACAGAGATAACCAAGTTTCCTTGTCAATTCCATTATAATGAGCTCTTATTAGATCTTTAATAAGGGCATTTAAAAAGTCTGGTCATTACAGAGAGCTATTGTTTTATTCTGGTGCTTTTAGAAATGCGTTCCTGCAAAAGTGCTTCCTCTTCGAGGAGATTCATGAGAGAACTTTGACCAGTACAGTTCTCTGATGACTTTAAGATCTTAAAATGAACTGGGTAAGAATTTCTGGAAAAACTGGATTCAAGCAGAACTAAGAATTATTAACACGGGACTGAATGAACTGAGGAGGAAGATTATAATTTTTGACTTCTTGTTTGAAGCATCGATGGTTCTCTAATGTTTTGCTTTACCAGACTTAAGGAAACTTTTTCTCTCTTTTTAAAAAAATATATTTTTATTGATTTCAGAGAGGAAGGGAGAGGGAGAGAGAATAGAAACATCAATGAGGAGAAAGAATCATTGATTGGCTGCCTCCTGCACGCCCTACACTGGGGATTGAGCCTGCAACTTGGGCATGTGGCCTGAAGAGGAATCGAACCGTGACCTCCTAGTTCATAGGCTGACACTCAACCACTAAGCCATGCTAGCCCGGCAGGAAATTTTTTCTCTTTAGCTATCAATAATTTGGTAAGATATATCTATGTAAACAAAGATGAAACATTTACTTTTTACTCCCTACTTTATTTCCCCAGAATTGTGAAACTTGAGTATTCTTTTCATGACAACATAGTTAAGTCCAATGACAGTCTGTTCTTGTAACAGGATACAGTGGGAAATATTGGTTATATTACCAAGGCTTTGACGAGAATATCCCCTTTGAGAAAGAAGTGCATAGACTCAGATATGAACAGATGATTTTTATTTTTTTGTTAATCCTCACCTGAGGATATTTTCCCATTTATTTTTAGAGAGAACGGAAGGGAGGGGAGAGTCACAGAGAGAGAAACATCGACGTGAGAGAGACACATCGATTGGTTGTCTCCTGCACAGTCCTGACCAGGATCAAGCCTGCAATTGAGGTATGTGCCCTTATCAGAATCAAACCCGGGACCCTTCAGTCCACAGGCCTATGCTCTATCCACTGAGCCAAACCAGCTAGGGCTGACCAGATGATTTTAAGGCCAATAAATCCCCTTGGAAAAATTGGCTTGGTACCTTGCTTACAAGATTCCAGCAAAGTAACCACTATTCTTGCTGCACTTATGTAAAAAATCAGGCCAAGTCTAATGCAAACAAATTAGTTTTGCTGTGATTATATTTGGAAAAGAGAAATGGGATAATTGTAGGGAGAAAATTTTTTTGCATCTTTGTCTGTATTAGATTCTAATCCTTGCCACCAATCAAGCTAAGACAATTGTCTTTGAGGTTTTGTTATATGCTTATAAACTGGATTGGACCTTAAATTCTGCTAGTTTTCTAAACAAATTTGGCTACCTGTATCCAAACTAATGTTTCCAATTTTCTCCCACCCTCTGATTTGGAATCACTAAGAACAAATACTGCCCTTAAATCTTCTGGGAAGGGACTACACCAGGTCCTCCTCACTATCCAGATTGCAGGCTGACCTCAGGGCCTCGAGCCTTGTAAACACATCTCACAGCTAAAGAAGGCTCCACCTGACATCTGGTCCTGCACAAATGCTGGAGACTCCACATCAAATTGATTAGGAAGAGAATTAGCTGACATCCATGTAGACTGTTGCCTCTGAAGAGGCTGGGTCAAGACTTCATACTTGAAGCATGAAACCCTCTCTTCTCTTTCATTCCTTTACTCTGGCATTGGCCTGGAAAGATAACTCCATAATCCATATCTCCCAGGACATTGCTAAGAGGGGTAACCTCTGGAATTTGAAACAACTTTATATTTCCTGCTAGGAGATTTACTTCCAGAACACCCTGAAAACCTAAGTGACCCCTGGCTTGAACAGGCAAGTATAACAATCCCTGCGAATGAGTCCATTAGGAAGTGGAAGTGGTTTGTGCCCTGACAGGATTTATCTCTGTCTGTGGCAGTCATCATTTTCCTTGGGCCTACGAATGCTTAGATGGCTGGCACACAACTGGCTAACACTTCTTAGGTTATCTAATGAAGCCCCTAACTGTTTACACAACAAAGTGGGATACCTCGTTGGTCAACTCCACTGAATTTGCATTGTTGAGTTAGAAAGGCCCTACCAGAAGGCGTTCATAACTCAGGGTTCACTTCCTTTGGGACGGCTCTACTTCCCTGGTTAGGAGTAAATATAAATGAGGTTATGATTAGAAACCTCTCCTAAACTCTTGAGGATATTGCAGAATCCACCGCTACGGTGATAGCTACCCAAGAAAAATCTTTGACTCTCTGGCCAAAGTTGTTCCTGATAATAGTCTCCTTATCAGCTTTTAGCTGAGCAGGAAGTTGTCTATAAACTGTGGCCAACACCACCTATTGCACCTGGATTAACACTTCTGAGGAAGTTGAAACACTATTACATCAGACCACTGAACAGGCTACTCGGCTTAAAAAGGTGACACCTTCAGTAGGGAATTCCTTTGACTTATTTGATTTTAATTGTTTTAGATCTTGGGGACCATGGCTCCAAAGTGTACTCTAGATACTGTGAATTACCCTGTTTATCATAGTCATAGTAGTCTCCCTGGCATGTTGTAGTCTCTCAAAAGCTTTAAGTGCATGTTTGCAGCCACTAACCAAGCAAATGATATTCCTAAGACTGGATCACCAGAAAAGGAATGACGAGAGTGACTGACTTCAAAATTGTGAACCTGAAGTTGTGGCCTGAATATCACAGAAATTCAGCATGCCCTTTGAATCACACAGAGGGTCAGTAAAAGCTGTGAGAAATACAAAGTGGTAGCTGAGAGTGGTTAATGCCCTAAAGTTTTATCACATCTCTCAGTTAAGCTGAGAGTCTGGTCAAAAGGAGGAATTGTTAGAAAAGAGGTAAGAGGCCCGAAATGGAGTCCTTTGTGCTAAATCCACATCACCAAACCAATACTTTATGCTTAACCTAATGGCAGTTTCAGCCTCTCCAAGGAATTTAATCTTAACCAATCAATCTGGAATTTCCTGGTCAGCACTAGTGAGGGAATTCATCTGATAGCCCCCTTCTGTCCCCCATAGGTAGGTTACCTACGCCTGAAACAATCCTACTCTTTCCCCCTTTACCTATAAAAGCCTTCCATTTTGTACAGCTCCTCAGAGCTCCTTTCTATTTGCTAGATGGAATACTGACCGATTCATGAACCATTCAATAAACCAGTAAGATATTTAAATTTTACTCAGTTGAATCTATATTATTTAACAACAGACAAGCCTGGAGGAGGTGGGACCGATCACAAAGAGCAGAGATGAGCCACCCAGCAGAGGCCATTCTCATCAGCCTCCAGTCCTGCCAAGATCAGCCCCCCAGCTAAGCCCAGTTTGAACTGCTGACTCAGAGAATTGTGAGCTAAATATAGTTTTGATCTGAGCCAGGAAGTCTTGGAGTAGTTTGTTAGGTAGCAAAGCTGACTAATAAAAAACGTTTTTTAAAACGATTCTTTTAGGGGGTGGGCAATGACAGGATTTTAAAAAGACAATAAAGGGGAATAAATGATGATGGAAGGAGATGTGACTTTGGGTGGTGAACACACAATACAATATACAGATGATGTATTATAGAATTATACACTTGAAACCTATATAGTTTTATTAACCAATGGCACTCCAATAAATTCTATAAAAATAAACATACACTCTGTCATAAAAATGACAATTATATATATATATATACACAAGGTGGGGCAAAAGTAGTTTACGGTTGTTTGTATGGAAAATAATACACTAATTAATACATAATACAAGAATAAACTCTGTGTTTCATGTACTCACAACTGCAAACTTCCTTTTGCCCCACCCTGTATTTTTGGTCATACAAACATAAAAACAAAGTCAAAGAGAATCAAGTCACTTACTATCTGATCACCTGAAAATACATCAGCAGGATTAAAAAAATATGAAACATGGTGCTGAACCTGCCCAGTACCTCTGCATCCCCCATGGAGATGGCTCTCTGTAGTGGAGACTATACCACTTACCAGAATCTTGGTGGTGTAGGCGCTGTTGATGGCGATGGCATTGACCAGCAGCTCCATGGTCTTGGCATTGATGGAGCTGGGGTCCGGGATCTCCTTATAGTGGACATCACCAAGGTAGGCCTGCACTACCGTCATGCGATTGGTGGTCAGCGTGCCTGTCTTGTCTGAGCAGATGGCCGTGGCATTGCCCATGGTCTCACAGGCATCCAGGTGGCGTACCAGGTTGTTGTCCTTCATCATTTTCTGGGGGAGGGGCATGTGAGAGGGTGACAGTGAGAAGAGGGAAATGGGGTGCCGGGGGCACTGGGTGAACATGTAGTAAAAGAGGAAGGGCTGTCATAGTCTGTCCCTTTGCTTTTGCACATGCAAAGGATCATGGTTTCTACATTCTCTGACACCTGGGCTCCTTTGTGTGCACCACCCTTTCCTCCCTTTTATTAGCTGAGCCATTTAAAAGAATTGATTGCCCTGGCCAGTCTGGCTCAGTTGGTTGGAGCGTCCTCTCATACATTGAAAGGTTGTGTGTTTGATTCCTAGTCAAGGCAGCCAATTGATGTTTCACTCTCACATTGATGTATGTTTCTCTTCATCCTTCCCTCCCTCTCTCTCCCCTCCCTCCCTCCCCTCTTTTCCTAGCTCTCTAAAATCAATAAAAGCATGTCCTTGGGTGAGGATTAAAAAAATAAGTTGATTAATTGATTCTATTAATTTTGATTACAGAAGTAATCTACATTCTTTATGGAAAAATAAGGATAAATTAAGATTGGGTCCCTCTCTGATTACTTCAAATATTTTTCTTTTACACCCTAATATAACTATTTTTTATTCATTATGAATTTTCTCAAATGTATCATCTTTCACTGGTGCCTGGTTTTCACTGTCACTTTCGTTTCACCAAAAGTAAATACATTTGGGGGATATATGTGTTTATAGACATAGGACAATATCTGGAAAAATATAAAAATATTAATGTCATTATCTTTGGGTGGTAGACCTATAGGAGATTTTTATTGTCTTTTAAAAAAATCTATAGATTTTATTTTTTCTATAAGAAATACACGCTGTAGTTCTGATGTTATAAGAATCCGTGAAACCTGGGAGGATTCTTGGCAATTGAAGAAGACACGGCAGAGTGACGTGACCAGGCGCACACACCTAGTGAGGGTTCGAGCTGGGATCAGAGCCTAGCTCTGTTTAACCTCCGAGCTGGATCATTCCATCTCTACTCACTGAGGAAGGTCTGTCTGCTGGGCTTAAAAATGCCTAGGCCTGTGCTGTCCAATACATCGGCAAGCCCAGCCCAAATTCCAGCTCATGTGGCTACTGAGCACTGGGAATGCGGCTGGTCTGAAATGTGCTGTAAGTCTAAAATACATATATAATTTTGAACACTTATTGTGAAAAAAGTAAAATATATCTCAAGTAATAACTCATTATATTGATTACATGTTGGTTTGATAATAATTTGGACATATGGAGTTAAGTAAATTATGTTATTCAAATTAATTTTGCCCGTTTCTTTAAAAATTTTCTTTTTAACGTGGCTACTCGGAAATTTAAAATCACACCTGCGGCTTACACTAGATCTCTCTTAGACAGCGCTGATCTAAGTGGTCATCTCTTTTCTTTTGAGGTAAGTCTAGGGGGGTAAGTCCAGGCTCAGAGGGGGAGAGTATGCTTTTCCTGGGTTGGGGTGCTGTCCTAAGTCTATCAAGCGACTGTATAAGTAACATTATCTAAGACGGCTAAAGGCACCAGGTGCCAGAGATACAAACTGCAGAAGGTGCGGTGGCCTAAAAACGTCTGTGCATAATTCCCCCAAAGCAACTCCATAGGACTTTCAAGGAGACCCCGCCCCTTCCACCCGAGCTCAGCTGGCTCCTGTGAGGGTCCTGACTCCTGGCTGTGTGAGCACCTTCATCTCCAGGACCCTGGCCCTTGAGCATCGTGTTGTGACCTGTTTGGGCTCTGGTTTGTGGGATGGAGTTTCTCCGAGAGCCCGAAAACAGGGAGGCGATAAGGGCCGTATCCTTTACACCGCGCTGCCACTTTCTGGCACCTGCCTAGAGATCTCTTTTCTGTATGAAATTACATCGGCGAGCCCAGCCCAAATTCCAGCTTGGAAACTGACGCTCGCCGTGCCCTCCGGCGGCTCTGCCAATGTCTCAGAGCGAATGCCTTACTTATCAACACGCTCAGGCCTCCACCCTCGCAGGGTCACCCTGGCATCGGGGCCCTGGGAAAGGGGAGTGCAGCCCTGGGCCCGCAGCGTGAAAAGGAGAGAGGATGAGCGCAGGGTGTGAGGACCTGGGGTGAGCCAGGCTGGAGGTGCCCTCCGGAGGGCTGGGCGTGCAGTGCCCATGGGGATACTAGCCCGCTCAGTTCAGCACTCAGGCTGTGAAGATGGCCATAGGCCTGGGGGCAGGGGTGGTGGGGCTGTGCCATCAGGGCAGCATTTAGGAAGGCTCACCAGCGGTCGGCACGCAAGGGCCCACCTGCCCTCATTGAACTGCTTTTAAAACCTTATATTTTCAGCCCAACTCCCGAGAGGAGGGGCCTTTCCTAAAGTCAGACGTCCTTTTGGTTTTAGTCTTATTTCTTTCAAACTGTAGGAAATGACCACTGAGATCAGTAGTCATGTACGCACTAAGGCTGTGGTGGGGCCTGTGCCTGTGACAGCCGGACTTCTGCCACCATTTGGTGGGTGTGATGGATTTGGGCCTGCACAGTGATGTCTGCATTTTATTTTTTGTTTAAAGTTGCATTGATTGTCAATGTTTAAAAATAAGGAGAGTTTATAGTAAGTCCAGATTTCTGGCTTCTCTTGGAAAAAAAAAAGGTAAAGATCTGGCAACAGTGGGCCTGTGTCCCCACAAGGTGACACTGGCTGGGCTGAATAACGGTTGTCCCTTTAGCTAGGGTGTGGCTCTCTAGTTTGCCACAGGCCTCTGAAGGCAGGTGAGTTTGGGTTCCCATTTACATCTTCTCTGTGAGCTTCCCATGTGTCCATTCCCTTCTTCTTAGCTCTTCTCTCAACCCCAGCGATGGCCCCTGGGCACCCCACAGACCCCCCAGCTGGCTGGTCCTACTTCCCACAGCTCACCTTCACAGAGTAGGCCAGCGAGATGGTGACGGCTAGAGGGAGCCCCTCGGGCACGGCCACCACCAGCACCGTCACACCAATGATGAAGAACTTGACGAAGTACTGCACGTAGACGGGCGTGCACTCGGGCAGCCATGGCTTCTTGTTGACCACGAAGGTGTCCACGGTGAAGTACAGCACCAGGATGATCACCGTGATGGCCGACATCACCAGGCCTGCAACACGGGGTGGGAGGGACCTGCTCAGGGGCAGTCCTGGGGGTCGGGGGCCCTGGGAAGTGAGCGGTGGACCGCACCCTTGGCCAAAAGGGCTCTGGGGTCAGGCCAAGCCTAGCTCACATCCCAGCTCTGCCACCTACTTGCTTTGCAGCCTGGGGCAAGTCCTCGACCCTCACAGAGCCTCAGTTGCTCCTCTATACAATGGGGATGCATATTTATTTCACATGGTTTTGTAAGGATCAAATGTGATCACTGCATGTAAAGTGCCTAGGACAGGGCCCAACACATAGTAGGTGCTCAAGAAATGTGTGCTGAGTGACCACGTGATAAATCGAACTGCTTGGATGGTGCTCTCACACAATAATGATGTGCAGTCAGTGCCATGTATTGACTCATTCATTCAGGCACTAGGGACACGGCAGTAGAGCAGACAGAGTCCCTGTCCTTGGGAAGCTGACAGTCTAGAGGTGAAGGCAGACGGGAAACAAACACGAACAAGACAATTCAGAGATGGATAATGCTGTGGAGAAGACTCCAGATGACATGCTAGATCCTGACAGGGGCCGAAGATAAGAAAACAACCTAACTGCCCATTGACGGATGAAGAGCAGGGAAATGTGGTGCATACCTACGATGGAATATTAGTCAGCCTTGAAAAGAAGGAAATCCTGCCGTTTGTGACAACATGGATGGACCTGGAGGACATGCTGCTGAGTGAAATAAGGCAGACAGAGGAGGACGTGCATGAGGAACCTAAAACAGGCAAACTCCTCGCAGCAGAGAACAGAAGGGTGGCTGCCAGGGGCTGCGGGGAGAGGGGAAGCAGGGGTTGTTTTTCAGGGGGTATACAGTTTCAGTTATGCAAGAGGAGTGCGTTCTAGAGCTCTGCTGTACGACATGGTGCCTGTAGTGACAATGTGGCATTGTACACTTCAAAACTGGTTAAGAGGATAGATTAGTTAAGTGCTTTTACCCCCAAACCAACCCCCACGTCCCCCCAAAACTCCCAAACTAGAAAAGACCACAAGGAAATGTTTGGAGATGGTGGATATATTTAATATCTTGATTGTGGTGATGGTCTCACAGGTGTTTGCATATGTCCAAACTCATCAAGATGTACACATTAAATGTGTGTTATTTTTTATGTATAAATTATATCTCAATATAGCTAAAAAAGAGTGACAAGGGCAGGGAGGGAGAGGCTACTTAAGCTAGGGTGGCCAGAGAAGACTTCCTGGAGGAGGTGATAGATGAGCAGACAGGTGAACGATGAGAAGGAGCAGTCAGGTGAGGACCTGGGTGAAGAGAGTTCCTGACAGAGGAAACAGTAGAAAACTGAGGGGATGTGACTTGCCCAAGGCCACAGCCAGGGAGGCAGGGTAGGATTAGCAAATGCAGGTGGCTGCCTGCTGGGATCCCCTGCGATCCCTTTTGCCATTTCTGTGCTTTAGCTGCTGTGCAGGTGCCTCTGCCAGAGGAGAATTGCTCTTGGGTGTTGGAGTCTCCTTCTCAGGAAGTGCCTGGGAATGCACTTCACTCCAACTGGATGACCAATACCCAAGGGCTGATTGGGGGGTCCAACACCACCTACTCCTTGCTACAAAGTGGAGCAGACCCTGCAGAGGTCCTCTGCTCCAGCGTTCCCCATGGAGCAGGTGGAGACTGGGATTTCCCCCCCGCCCCGAAACTTCAGCTGTATCTGGCTTCTTCCTTGGCCCTATCTCGTCCTTTACTTTTTACAGGTCTCACCTGTGTGCACCCCTTCCCCAAGCCCACCCATCTTCAGCTCTGCTTTCAGGGGATTTAACACAAGAGAGAAGCAGAGGTGAGATGCAAACCCAAAAGTGCTTGACTCTGAACTCCATCCTTGGCAGGGCCAAGGAGGGGAGGGAGATGAGGGAGGACTTTGAAAGCCACAATGTTCTCCCCGCTTTGCCCCGCCCCGCAGTGCCATGTTTCCTGGGAGTCTTCTCCATGGTGGGGATGGAGGAAATCTCTGTGCCCATTGTTCCCCACCCCCTCCAGCTGCAGGGCCTCAGAGCCTGCTCTATCCCTGTCTGACAGTCGCCAGGGGCGGGAAGCCAAGCTCCCAGCAGCCCGGAGCTGTCACCAGGACCCCGAATTTAAATATAGACAGCCAAGCCTGTAATTTGCCTCCCTTCTCCACACTGCTGTGCCTATAATTAGAGCAGGGAGACAGCCATGGAGGAGCAAGCAGCCAGGTGGGGAGGCCTTGGTGTTTGCCACATCCTTACCCACAAGGGGAGTCCAAGGCCATGTCAGATGGGCAGGGCTCACCTTGCAGCTGGGCTCGGCTTCCTGGGCCAGAGGGGCTGTCACCAGCTTTCACCTGCAGCTACCAACTCAGCTGGGAAGCCCAGCTTGTTGTGCTGGGGATCCTGGCACTGCTCCCAACCTCTTCAATCTTTCCTGTGCACTGAAGCTGGGGTGCTCATTATAGAGTCCAAAATGCATCCCTGCCATCCCCTGATCAAACCTCTTCCATGGCTACCACTGCCCTCAGGATAACGCCTGCAAACTCCAGGCCCTGCAGGACCCGCCCCCTCTCTAGTCACCACCCTCGCCAAGTGCTAAAAACTCTGTGCATAATCTCCTTTAATCCTCATAGCGACCAGTGAAGTAGGGACCACTGGGCATCCCAATTTCACAGACCAGGAGGCAGGAGTTCAGAGCTAGGGGAAGTTACTTGCCTAAGTTCTCACAACCTTAGCTGGACAAGAACACAGGCCATGTGCCCCACAACTCAGGCTTTCAGCTTCACTCTTCTCTCTAAGTGCTAACTGAGCACCTACTGTGTAAGGACACAGATTGGTTGCTGTGATGGAGAAGGGTGTGTCTCAGGGACCATCTCATGCAATCCACCACTTTACAGATGAGGCAACTGAGGCCCAGATTGGGGCAGGGCCCTGCCTGGGGTCCTACTGTGTGTCCCCCCTCGCATCCTGCTCACTCACCCGCCTTGCCGATCTGCACAGCCAGCTTGGTGAGCTTGCCCTGGAGCACCGACTTCTCCTTCTTGTGCATGTTGGCCTTCTTCTTGTCGTCAGCATCACCGCCCTCGGCACTCTTGAGGGGCTGCATCTCCATGGCGGCGGCCCCATCCTGCTGTTTGGCTGCAGGTGGCAGAGCACACATGTGTACACACAGACACGTACAGACACACAGACATGCACACACACAGGTCAGCTTGCAGGGTGGGGATGCTGGCCCCCACCCTGCCTGCCTGGGGGAGTGTGGTGAGATACCCACTTCCCTGCCTGGGCCCCTGCATGGCCGGCACAGAAGCCCTGAGATGGGGGTGGTGTCCTGTCTCTTCCAGCCAGAGACACTGCAACCAGGGCCACAGCCTGCCTGGGGCCTGAAATCCAGGACACAGCAGGGAGTGACAAGGCTCTACCCTAGACTCCCAGCAGGAGTGGGTTGGAGGCTCCTCTGGGCCTTCTCCCAATGACCTGTTGGTTTTTCCCACATTCAAACAAGACATAGGCTTGGGCTTTACCCAGTGGTCCTTAGGCCATGTTGTTGGGATATTAAGTAATCACCAGACAGCAGGGACAAAAAAGGAGACTTAAAAGGTAAAAGAGAGTGTGCCCATCCATGGGTGCCAAGCCCTCTCCTCATTCAGATCAGGACTAACTAGTGGCCTGAGGTCTTACTCCTTATCCCCTAAGGATCTCAAACAACCAGCTTCAAGTTTTCAGCTAAACGGGCAGCACAGCTCAAAGGCCGGGAGAAGCTGGCTTGCAGGTGTCCCATCCTCACCAGGTGATGTCTCCATTTGGCCTGGTGCCACGTGAATCATGGCTATACCCCCCAAAGACGTCAGGCACCCATAGTTGCAGCTGCATCTGCCTCTGGCGTAGGCCTCAGAACCGGTGGGGAGGGGCCGCAGGGACCACAGGACCCGGTTAATACAAAAGGGTTACCTTTGCTCTGGCTGGTGTCCACAGTGCCATCCTGCATTTTACCTACACGACAAAGAATTTTAACAGACAACAGAGAACAGACAACACACATCGGTCATCACAAAGATGCCACAGGGCCACGGACATTCATGTCACAGATGGAGGAAGGGCCAAGCCGACTCCATCCCTCCACACAGGATACTGGGGATGCCTCAGAGACAAGAACAAAGCTGCCAGCGCATTGGCTGCAGGTCTGTCTTGATTCTCTGGGGGCGTGGAGAGAGTGTTTCTGTGGGAATTATTTTGGCCCTAGGCATCTTACAGGTTAAAGGACAGTCTTGAGGGTAAAAGGGACCAGGGTTGGCTTGCAGGAAGCAGAGGAGTGAGAGTTCTCAGTTACCCATGAGTAATTTGCTTGGTGCTTTTTGTGGGCTGAGAGGAGGCAAAGGAAAATGAGAGAGAGAGAAAGAAAGAGAGAGAGAGAGAGAAAGAGAGAGAGAGAGAGACTGACTAGAATGGGATATGGGGAAGAGTTTGGTTAATGTGTTCCTTGGTTCCTGGCTCCAGAAGAAATAATACTATTTTCTCCTTTTCCTTCTGAAGGGGTGTGAAACCACGGCATGGACAACCCCATGCCCAGCTTGACAGAGAGTGACCCATGCAAAGGGTGGGCTCTGAGGTACCCCAAGTGTGTCCAGGGGCCTTGGTGGGACTACCCCAGCTCCCAGGGGAAGCTGCCAACTTCCTTTCTGTTTGGATGTGTGCTCTTCATTCTGAGGTTGACCAGCTCAGACAACGTTAGATAGAAAAAGTCGGGTTGGTGGGCTCCCATGGGTGCCCCACCCCTGGCCCTGAATACCAGGGTCTGATGTTGCCTAGTGCTGGAGAAAGGCTGAGTCTAGAGCTTCCCACCCCTTAATCAGGGCTGCCTGGGAGGCCCTGTCCACAGCCAGAGGTGTAGGCTGTGTTGGCAGGTGGGAGAAACCGGAGGCTCCTATCTGGTGGCTGAGACACCTGCCTTCACCTGTTGGCACTGCGGAGAGGAACACCCTCTCCCCCAGGCCTGCCCACTAAGCTCGCCCAGAACTTTGCATGCAGACCTCACCACCTCTGGAGGAGTCTATGGAGGTCAGCTACCCCAGGACATTTGCTGCAAAGGTGAGTCCCACAGCTCACGTTCAGGAAGAACCCACCATGTGCCAGGCGCATACATGACCTCCATGATGTCATCTAGTCCTCACCACATCTCTACAAGGACGCCCTATACTTATACCCACTTACAGATGAGAAACTGAGGCCTGCCCGAGTCTCAGTGGGTAAATGGAGAGCTGGCTCCAAAGTGTGTGCATGTTTCCACCCAATCGGGGAGAACACAGCACCTCTCAGCCCTCTGAGCCCAGGGGAGGGGCACTGAGGTGGCACTGGGGGACTGGGCTCCCGAAGCCCCTGTTGGACACCAACTTGCCGTGTGGCGTTCCTCTCCCAGCCTCTGCTTCTACCTCTGTAAAATGGGGGTGCAAGGTTCACCCCTCCCCCCCGGAACCTAAAAGGGCCTGAGTAACAATCACTGGCCCATTCAGCCTTTTGCAGTGTGCAAGTGTCATCTCCCGTCAGTCTCCCTGACACCTTGCAAGGCGGGCTTTTCTCGCTCATTTTACAGATGAGGAAACTGAGACCAGGGAAGGTTTAGAGGCAGTCCTCAAATAGAACATCCTGGGCTATGTTATTAGTTCCATCAACAGTGTCATCACCATCACCACACCCCACTGTAGGGACTTGGGGGGAGGGACAGTGGCCTTCACGGACCTCAACCCCACTCCCCCTCTTTCCACTGCCTCTCACAGCAAAGGCTCAGTGGCCCAGCTGGGATCAAAGAGAAAGGCCCCGTTGCTCTATTGTAAAATTCTTTCTACAAAATTAAGAAACAAAATAAGAAAAAGGCCTTTTAAGAGCAAACAGAAATGAACTACACAATTATTTTTATTTTAAAACATAACTTTATGAACTGGGCACCAGAGGACTCCGCTTCAGTAGTTGCTTTTAGATGGCACAAAGGGGCCTTTATTTGTATTGCATATTATCAGGGGCAATAGCCCATGCATGTGCCCATTAACTAAGCTAGCAATTTCCTCTTTTATTTCCACAGTGACCACGTGGCCAGAAATATAATCAGCAATGCATATGCTTGAGGAAGGGAGTTGTGTTCTGGGTGTGCTCTGGTGCAGATGGCCTGGTTTCTCAGAAGCAAAGGACTTACTGGGGTTCTCCTCAGCTAAACAGGGACTTGCCTGGCCCTGAACTGTGGCGGGAGAGCCAGCTCTGGCCCCATGTGGGATGGATTGTGTTTCAGGGGTGCTGGGATGTAGGACAGGACCCAAGATAGGAACTGGGTGGAGACTAGGAGGCCCCTCTGCATCCGATGCCAGATGCAGCTTTGCCAAATGGGTCTGTTCTCTTCAAGTATCATCGGGGACATGGGTGTGAAAAGCATGGATGTGGAGGATTCATGGAGAGGTTGACCTGACTCTCTGGGGAGACAGACCACTAATGAGGAGACCTCTTCCCAGCTTCTCCATTTCTTTCTCTGTGAAAGGCAACAATTTCAAAGTGCCCTGTAAATGTCTGGAGTTAAGAGTAATGTATTATTAATCACGATTATAAGAGATGTATTAAACAGTGATTACATTTATAATCATAAAAAATAAAAGAATAATGGCAGTCATAAGCCTCCAAGATGAATGGTGCCCAACCATCTTTCAGTTGGGATGGGGTTTGGGAGAGTAAAGGCAGGGGGAATACTGCCACTGTTTTGTTTTCTATCTCTAATTTGTTTTCTATCCTGATTTGGCTCAGAGGAGGGAGGGAGAAGGGACAGTAATTCTCTCACTCACCACGCCTCAGCCCTGCACCTCTCAACCTCTATGGACTCTCTCATAGCCTGGAGAGCTTGACAGGACGCAGATTTTCATTCTGTAGGTCTGGGGTGGGGCCTAAGATTATGCATTTCTAACAAGCTTCTAGGAGATGTCCAGCCTTCTGTTCCTCTGATCGCATTTTAATGGCTTAGAGCACTGTTTCCCAAAGTATATTATGCAGGCATAACAATCCCACAGATTCAGTCAGAAAATGTCCTCCAGCCAAATCAGACTGGGAACTCCTGCATGGCTCTGTAACTCGCCACTACACACCAGCATACTGAAGGCAGTGAGGAGTCCTGCCACCAGGGAAGACACTAGTTCTATCCAGAGGTTCTTAAACATCTTTGACCACAGGATCTTTTTCTTGAGGGGAAAGATCTCTTAATATCTTTGTGAAGTTTCAAGACACACTCCATCGGGAAATTCTGGATCAAGCAGAGTAACACGCACTTTAGAGCCAGCCAGGCCTGGGTTCAAATCCCAACTATGTTACTTTCTAGGTCTGTGACCTTGGGCTAGGGTCTTGATCTCCTTGAGCCTCAGTTTCCTCATCTTTAAAGTGGGATAATAAACTCTGTATCATAGGGTTGTCATGAGGATTAAATAAGATGGCAAGCATAAAATGCTTGCAGAGTGCCTTGTTGGCGGAGAAATGTCAGTTCCCCATCTTTCCTGCAGTTTTTCTTGGGGTACTTGGAGTTTCTGCTATAGTTTGGAAGTGAAGGTGCCCTTTTTTAGGAACCGGCCAGCCCAGATGCAGGCTCATTACCCTGGGGGAGGCAGGATGCCACATCCTGTTTCCTTCCCTCCTAGGCTTTGGGTTTGCCTACGTTTCTCTCTGTCATCCCTCACCACCCCTCCCTGACGAATGACACCTCCCACAACCCAAGCTGTCTTCCATTCTCCTCCTGCTCCTGAAATAGACCCACACCCAAATTAGTCCTTCTTGGCAAGACGCTGCTTGCAGAAGTGTCTTGCCCAGCCCCTGACATCTATGAAGTGCTTCCATTTTTGGTCTGGGGCAAGATGAGGTGGGACAAGATCTCCATGTTTTCCAGGAGTGGTGAGGAGTAAACGATACAATGGATGAGAAACCCACAGCCAAGTGCCTGGTATGCAGCGATGCTGGGGCACTGGCTTCATGACTGAGCCCTAACAGCTCTCAGCAGTTCAGAAACAGCCTGGGCGACTCTCTTGCTACCTAATTTGGGAACAAGGAACTTGTCTGAGTAATAGAAGCTTCACCGCTCTGAAGATGAGAGGGTAGAGACATAAAAAATCTAAAGGCTTGGAGGCAAGTGCATGGAACTCCTCCCTGCCTGTGTGCGAGGAGATAAGATGCAGACCAGCTACAGTGGCAGCTCCCTCCCCGAGGGGGCCAGTCAGAATGCACAGACCCAGGACAAATGCTCCAGCACAGGCAACAGCAAGAAACACCAGTCCACATCTGAGGGACAGACCAGGCCTGAGCCCAAGCAAACCCCTTGCCCATTCGCTCCATGAAAGAGAAGAGGAAGAAATGTCTACTGGTGGCTCAGCCATGCTATGGGGTGGGGCCAAAGAGCTGAAACTGGGCCTGGGTCCCCCAGCCTCGAGGTAATTTTAGAGTTGAGGACTGGAGCCTTCACTGAGGACCCAGACGCCAGCTTCAGCCCAGGTCCTGACCCCAGGCTTTCTTCCCAAAGCGGGGGCCAGGAACGTACTTAGGAGAGGGCCACGCAGGTGGGACATTGCTTCTTGGGGCCAAATCTGAAGCCAAAGTCATGTTCCTCTTCAAGGCTCCACTGGGGGTCAAAGGCCCCACAGGAGCCAGTGCCATTTTGGTGCCGCAAGGGGGCGCGGAGCTGATTCCCGGTGGTGGCTTCTCTCTTAAGCGCCTGCCCCATGTGAGAGGACGACTGTCCCAGAGCTGTCCATGCACATCCAAGATCTGTGCGGTCCAGAATAGGGAGAGGCCAGCCCAAAGTTGGGGGTGGAGGAGAAGACGCCCATCCACCCGAGACCGAGAGCTTGCCACGGGAGACGTACCATTGACTAGGCTGGCATTTGCACTATCTGCAGCATTTGAACCTGCCGCACCATCGGCCGCTGCGGGGGTGGGAGGGATGGAAAATGCAGTGTGTCACAATGGAGAAAAGCAACAATGCAGAACAGCAACAACAATAAAGACATGAACCAACTTGTGGCAAGTAACATGACTATAGTTTTCAAAGAAAATCTCCGTTGGAGATCAAGAAACTCAAATTCAGGGGTGGGGGTGAAATGTTCTCATAGAGATGCCACAGAAGTCAGGGGGGGAAAAACTCAGGCATGGAGGGTCATTGAAATAAAACATGGAATATGATCAATGTGGTTAGGCGGGATGGCACTGTTCTGTGGTGAGGTCTAGACGGATGCACCCAGTTGGCCCAACCAATCAGGTAGGGATCCCCGTTAGAGAGAGTTCTATGAGGAGAGGGGTTCTGGCTTCCCATCAGAGGGGCCAATGGCACTGAGTCAATTCAAGACATTCAACAACTGGTGCACTGTGGCCCTGGCCATTCCGAATGGGTATTGCTATGATCACCATCCCTTGTTCTAGCAAAACATCTGTTGAGGGCTGTGACTTAGCAGGATTCACGTCCTTAGCTCAGGTCACCACCCATGGCCACCTCCTCCTTCCTAATCAGCAGTCCCCATCATTTAAAAAGGGAAATCAAACATGTCACATTCTGTTTGAAGGTCCTAGCGAGTTTCCCTTAATTTAGAAATTAAAAGATGATACAAGATGGTCAAATTCACTCATGTTGTTTTTTTCTTGGGGTGGGGGAACAGGTTCTGTGGGAAGGAGAGGGAAGAGACTGCTGGGTGAAGTGAACACACCGTGGGTCAGGGGAAGCCAGCCAGGCTCTGTGGGGATATGCAGGGGAGCAGGATTGTGGGGGGTCCCATGGTGACGGGCCCCTGAATGTATGTGTGTGGGGCTGAGGCCCAGGTGGAGACATTGGCGGTGCCATTGGCATTGGCCCACAGGATGATGCACTGGAGGACCAAGTAGGTAGAATGAGGTGCTGGCTTGTCCTGTGGGACTGCCATCACCTGGGGGCACAGCTGAGGGTCTGGCAGTGCCCCTGCAGTCAGGGAGCCTCCTCCAGCTGTGTGCTGGTGTCTAGGGCCCAGGCTCAGTGGTCAAAGGCTGCTGCTATTTCTAAAAGCCCCATCTACCCTGAAGGGTGTCTTACTGTACCTGGTAGCTGAAGGCCATCCCCCTTCTTCACACCTGTGTGATGATTTTTGAGACATATTAATGAAGGAGAAGCACACAGCCTCATCTGTGTACACACACACACACACACACACACACACACACACACCCTGGCGTGACCAAGGTCATCTGGACATGGGGACTCACAGTTATCAGGCTTTAAGCAATGTCCCTGATGGAGATGATGGGATGGCAGTGCTGAGGGCCCCAGCCCTAGCAGTGCTGCTCACGAGGATGTAAGGGGCAAGTCTGTCCCCATCTTCCTCTGCCATGTTGCCTCCACTTCCCACCTCTTCCCTCTACACTGATGCCCTCATTTCGTTGGAGTGTAAGTAAATGTTGAGTGAGAGACTCTGTCCTGTGCTTTGGGGCAGGAGAGGCCTGTCCTCCTACTGGCATTTTAAAAAACACAGGTGTGGCCTGTAGGAGCTTCTGCCCTTAACCCAGGCCCCAGTGAGGCCAAGGAATCGTCAAAGGTTGCTGTATCCTGTCCAACTGCCCACATCTACCCAACTGCCTGTAACCTGGGGCCACAGCAGGCCAGCTTCTATGTCATTGCATGGACACTGTTCTGACATGCTCTGGGCCTCTTGGCCAGGACTTTGTTCTCAGTTTCAACTTCAGCTCTCCTTTTGCTCTGCAGATATGGATTTCACAGATCACACCTTAGTTCCATTATCCCTACTGGTGAGGAAGCCATAATCTTAAGGGAACCCCACTAGGAAATGGGTTTCACCCTTGGGGACAAGTAACTTTTGATTGTGACCCAGGCTCTGTGCCTGGTTGACCTTTGAGAACTGGAGGTAGCAGGGCTGCCCCTAAAACCCAAGGACAGGTCACCTGCTATCATCTCCTTCTCTTGGACTTCAGAAAGTCTGGGTGTTGGGGACCCTCCTCTGGAGCTTGGGGAAGGAGACAAGACAAAAGACTAAAGATGTGAGAGGGAGCTGTTCTGACCAAGTGTGAGTGTTGGGTGAGGAGCCGGCCATGCCAGGGCTAGAGGCCTGGGCTCTTATGTCTTCTAAGCATTCCTCTTCTCCTCTGAGAGGCACCTGTAGCCCAGGCTGCTAGCCTGGTGCTCTGAGGAGGGCCCAGGGAAGAAGGACTCTTGTTTTCAGGGGGAGGAGGAACCAGAACCCAGGTGATGTGACAGGGGCATCTGAGAGGGGCTCATAGTAGTTGGCTTGGAACCACCTTCCCTAGAAGCTTCTCTGCCCATATCTGGGGAGAATCTATGATGAATGGGTTTGCCACTCTGCTCAGTGGAGTTGAGAAGAGTGGAGAAATATTCCCAGGTAGGGATTTCTACTTGATGAGAGGGGTGCAGATGGGACCAAGTTACACCTCAGGCTGGAGACTCAACAAATGCTCAGCATCCTTGGCCTGGCCCAGTGGTGGAGAAGGAGGGGCTTCTATGACATGACTGGACAAGACAGAGACTGGGACAAGACCCTGGAGATGGAACAGACAGAGCCCTCCTGGCATGAGCAGGGCCTTGAGGATGCAGGATGTGGCTGTTGGCACAGGGCATGGACATAAAAGGCACTCAATAACTATTTTGTGGAGTGAATGATTCAACAAAAAAAAGTGGCCTTAAGAGCTCCTCTCCTGGTCCACAAGGGGGTTGGGCTTACCTTTCTTGTCTTTCTTCTCTTCCTCCTCACCACCGGCTCCCAGCAAGGTAAAGATAATGCCAGTCTGAGAGTTCACACCCACAGCGGTCACCACCATCCGTCCAGAGCCCTCCATCACATGGGTCCCTGGAGAAGGGAATGGAAGCCAAGTTACCATTGCACAAACCAAGTCCCCTCCCCAAAAGAGTGGAAGGAATTCCATCCAGAATCTGCTGGCAATTTGCCTGCTGAGGTCCAAGGGTACTGCCCATAGTCAAGGTTCAAACTATGAACCTCTTAGGATGATTTCACTTTGGGACAGCACTGTGATGGGCTTGGTGCCCAGACACTGTTATACCTCAGTTCTTAGGCCTCCAGACAGCTCAGGCCTACCACCTGCCACGCTCTCTTGGAGATTCCCTCCTGCCTCTATCTCTCTTTCGCTTCTCCTCCCTCAACCTTACAGGCCAAGCAGGGACCACTCTCTTTTTTTTCTTATTGATTTATCTAGAATGAGACCTCATTTTGCTTAATTCTATAACCAGCAAAGAAATGCCAACTAAGACCTTTACAGGACTGCTTAAAGTGGACACCACCCTCTCTTTAAAGATCTGGTAAAAGAATTCAGGGCTCTGTAAAATTGGGTGAAAATAATGACATCTTTAGTTTTACAAACATCTAGCTGAAATGTAGCATTTCCTCCCATTATGAATGTAGGCAACAAACCCCAACACCATCATACATGTTACAAGAATCACAGGTTTTTTTCATATCGCTTGGCAGCTGTTGCAGATATCATGATACTCACCCTTATTTTACAAATAAGGCAGTTATTAAACTGACTGCTGATCTTGTTATGCAGTGTGCTAATGAAGAAACCCATGCATCACTATACCACACATTTTATTACTTTAACTACTTCAATCTCACTGTCTTCCTTTGTCACCCAAAATATTTTGCTTTATGCATTTCAAAGTATAATTCCGAGTGGGGGTGGCACATGATGTCACCAGACTTCCTCAGGAGTCCGTGGTGCAAGAAAAGTTAAGAACCTCTTTCCTGGAATTTTAGATTTTTTAAACTGGGTTTCAAAGGGCCCTGGAATTTTTTCAGAGGGCAGCAAGAACAGCTGTTGGGGAGGGGTGAGAGGCCTTTGGTCAGAGTGTCTCCATTTTCATTTATCTTTGGGGTTTCTGTGTCAGCTTTTGTTTGACTGGAGTGTCTTGTTGCTAGTGTAAGGCAGGCCCCTCCACTGTACAGGTCAGGGAATAACTTGTCCAAGACCACTTAGGAAGTCTCCTGCAGAATGAGGATAAAATGCAAAGGTAAACCCCCTGCAAGAGTGGTATATCTATATAATAAAATATTATTCAGTCTTAAAAGGGAAGGGAGTTCTGACACATGCTACCACATGGATCAGCCTAGAGGACACAATTCTAAATGAAATACGCCAGTCACAGAAAGACAAATACTGTTTGATTCCATTTACATGAGGCCCCTGGGGTAGTCAGATTCAGACGTAGGATGCTGGTTGCTGGGGGCATGGGGAGATAGTGTTTAATGTGGACAATTTCAGTTTTACAAGATGAAAAGAGTTTTGGAGATGGATGGTGGTGATGGCTGCACAACAATATGAATGCACTAGGAAGTCATGGAACTGTACACGCACAAATTGTTAAAATGGCCAATTTTATGTTATGTGTATTTTACCACGATCAAAAAATTGGAAAAGTATGGGGGGGGGAAGGGAAAAGGAAACGACTGAAGCTGTGGCCTCGCTGAGGAAACAAGGTGACCCTAGCGAAGGCACTGGGACCCGGTACAGGAAATGAACAGCAGCTACAACAGCCCAGGCCTGATATCCGGAGGCTGCTGGCCCTTTATCCTCAGTGGCGTTGGAAACACACAGCTACTGGGTCCTGCAGCTTTCTCAGAACAGATGGGCCACTCACAAATAGAGAGTTGGCACCTGCAACTGACTGGGCTGGAGTGGTGTCACCTGCAGAGGCTCAGGACACACCTGGGGAGGCCCCCTCAGTCCTGCCAGTGGCCACTCTCTTTGGTAAAGAATAGTCAGGTGCCCATTTTTTTTCCTGATTTTAATTTTTACCACTCTGGGTAGAACGCTCTCTACAATGCAGCACATACTTCTTTCTTCAATAGAGAAGTCAGAATGCCGTCCTGGCCAGGAGCAGTCTTGGGCCGTCCTCAGGCTGCACAGTAAGAACTATGTTGAGTTTGCAAGACAGTGTTTGAGGGGCCCGATGACCATGGATGCTGACCCCCAACACTACACAGCCCTGATGACTTGCTTCTTGAATCCAGTTCTGCTTTTTAGAGTTTTTCCTTCTTTCCTCTCAAGATTGATTGCCTCATCTCCCCATTATCAGGGTAACTTGTCTCTAACAGCCTTCTCCTTGTTTTCCAATTTGCTTCAAATTTGAAGTCTAAGTCAACAAATTGATTAGAATTGTATCTAAAATAAGTGTCAAGAAGTTCTGAGTCAGGACTGGAAGTACTTCCCTTAAAGCAAGGAAATCTATTTCTACTTTCCAAGATGTTTCACCCACTCCTTCCCTTTCCTCCCAGGATCTGAACAATCGTGAGATTGTGAGTGTATCTGTGTGCATGTGCGTATGTGTGTGCATGTGTGTGGTGTTCTAGCCTTGGCTTCCAGAATCTCAGGATCTTAAAGTGCAGACAAACACACTCCACGAAGTTCCTTTAAGGCAGGGAAAAGTCAGTTTGTCCATCCATGAGTTGGTAAACTAAGTCATGAGATTCCCAGGGGGGCATGAAACCTGGCAATCTGTAACAGAACCCAGATCCTCAGATGTGAGCTCTTCTGCTGGCTCCTTGCCCATTCCAGGACAGAAGGACAGTGCTTTTTTGGGCAGGGAACAGTGAGGACTACAGAATGAGCTTGGACACTGCTTCTAGGCCAACCATCCCAGGCCTGGTGTCTTTCTCTCACAGGCAGACCCTGCAACCTAACTAGCCCCTAAGAAGCACAAACAGGGAGAACCAGGGCCCAGTCACGGGTCCCTGGATAATATGATGACTTGTTGCTAAAATGCTTTGTGGTGCACCAGTTCAGCTTGTGTGTGGGCTGTCAGGAGGGGTTGTTAAATGCCAGCAGTGTTAGACAGATAAGGAAACTGAGGCCCAGAGAGGTCATGTGGGGGTGGGGTCATTGTAGATCTTTAAAGGTGAGGGAGGAACACACTTCATGCATTCAGAGTGCAGACAGCACTGCCAGTACCAGCACTACCTTCTGGAGGACACCTGCTCTGTGCAGGCAGTGTGCTAAGCCCCTCACAGCAGTCATTTCTGAGTCCTCACACTGACCCTCAGTTTATGGAGGAGGAAGCTGGCTTGCCCAGGGTCACAGCTGGTGAGGGGCAGAGCCAGGCTTTGAACTTTCCTGTCTGAAGTGGATAGAGACTATCTTCTTTGTCATCTGTCCCTCCCGGAAACAAGGTCTTCGCACCCTAGTCTCAAACACATTTGTGAAAGTCTGTTTTGCCTGGGTGGCAATGGAAATACTGCTCCCCACCTCCCCAGCTCTAGGTGGGATGGAAAAAGACACAGGGGGCCAATTTCCACCCAAGATAATCAGACCCCAAAATCACCTTCTAATCTAATCACTCCCATCACTGCAGGGAGCTGGCGGCTTTGCACTGGGAGGCAGGGAGGAGGGAAGGAGGAGGAAGCCAGGGAGGTGACCTCTGGCCATAACTCAGGGGACAACATGAAGGCACAGCCCCCTGCCCAGCCTCAGATGAGCCCCAGGTGGTCCTCCAGGCTTCAGCAGATGGGACATCAACCTCTCCTTCTGGCCCTCCCTTGTTCTGTGCTCCAGCTTCAGCTCTGACCACTGTCCCCCAGCTCAGACACCCTGCAAAATGCCCTAAAGTCCAAATTTGGTCAGTACCCCCTCTGTCAGACCCTGGCCTTCTTCTGGCCCTTGACCACTGATTCCTGCCCCGTGGCCTCTGCCTTGGGAGTGTGAATAGCTCACTGGGCCTTGTGTCCAGTCCCCCACCCCCTTTGCTCACACAGTTACTGAATGCCCTTCCCCTACTTCTCATCCAAAGCTTCCTCCCCTCGGTTCCTTCTCTTCTACCAGGATCTCTCTCCTACAAGGACCTCAGGGCTTTGCTGCTCCTTCTGCCAGAGGAAGAATTGAGTGTACCAGGTCACTCCCCCTACACTGTCCCACCCCAGCTCCAGGATCCTCTACAGAGGGCAATGCTTAACCCCAAAGCCTGTGGCTGTAATGGCAGAACCACAGGCATTCAAATAAAAGGTTGGATGACTAAATCTCTCAAAGGAAAACTGCAGGGTCTTTGGGTAGGGGCCAAGGTGAGAACCCTTTGGGTGTGGGGGCCCCGCAGGGCCTTGCACCAAGACTTCACTGTCCGTGGTCTCTTGGGCACTATCCTGTAGCTCCCACCTCATCGAAGCTCCCATGGAGCCCTTCGGGATATATAAGCATGGTGGGGGTGGGTGAAGTGAGCCCTGGGCTAAGGAGTAGGGGACCTGGGAACCAGACTGGTGTTTGCTTCTGATTTGCTGTGTGGCCTGAGGCCAGCCCTCTCCTCTCTTTGTTCTCTGAAAAATGGGGAGGCCTGGCTTAGGTCTCACCTCTCAGTGATGAAGTCTGGGCCCCCTGGTCCCTGGAGACTAGGGCTATTCCTGGCCGGGGTAGGGCAGCCTCCATTAAAAGGCTACATCTTGGAAAGTTTGGATCTCAGTTAAGATGGGGCCATCAGAGGCTTGTGTGGATAGATGACCAAACGTGAAGCCTCCTGCCAGGCCACACGTTTCATCTGATGG